TGAATTTCTAGTTCACCCTGTTTGCTGTTCATACTTTGTGCATTGGTGTATAAACATTTGAGTCCTTTGTGGGTGGCCCTGTGTTTCCTTTCTACATAACCTGTGTGGTGCCTGAGTTCCCCTATTGTCTTACCACCTATTTGGTTAGTGCACTTTATATGGCACTCGCTATTAGAGGCTTCATTTTGATTGGTAGCAAGGATAGTGGACGTGGTGGTGCCTGGAGACAGCAGAACAGACGAGAAAGAACTGGAGAAGATAACAAAATACAAAGACCTACAAATAGAAATAGAAAGACTGTGGCAAAAGCAAGCAAGGGTAGTACCAATAGTCATAGGCTCCTTGGGTGCAATCCCAAAACAACTGGAGCACCACTTGAACACCATTGGCATTGACAAATTCGCTATTAGTCAATTGCAAAAGGCGGCCTTACTAGGAACTGCTTCCATCCTGCGACGATATCTGTAATACCATCAAACATCCACATCTGTCTATCCCAGGTCCTGGGTAAGGACTCGATAGGTCAAATCCAGTCTGAACATCTGGCTGACTGTGCGATGATCCATAATAATAATAATGATGATGATGATGATGATGATGATGATGATGATGATGATGTTGGGAGGGACTTGGAGGTCATCTAGTCCAATTCCCTGCTCAGGCAGGAAACCCTACACCTATATCATAGCTCCCAATGTTCAAGTTTGTCAAGATCCTTCTGTATCCTAAGCTTATCTTCTGGAGTGTTGGCTATTCCTGCCAGCTTGGTGTTGTCTGCAAATTTGATGAGTTCCTCATCTATCCCCTCATCCAAATCATTGATGAAGATGTTGAAGATCCCAGAACAGAGCGTTGGGGCACCCCACTACACATTTCCCTCCATGTACATGCGGTTCCATTGAGGACCACTCGTTGAGTACAGCCAGTCAGCCAGCTACGAATCCTTTTGGTGTTGATGCTGTCTAACCAACATTTTTCTATCTTATCAAGTAGTAGGTTGTGATCTACTTTATCAAATGCCTTACTGAAGTCCAAATAAATTATATCCACGGCATTCCTCTGATCCACTAATTTTGTCATCTGGTCAAAGAATGCAATAAGATTTGTCTGGCATGATCTGTTTTTGACAAACCCATATTGGCTTTTGGTAATGACTTTGTTTGCCTCTTAGGTGTTAGTTGATTCATTGCTTGATTATCTTTTCCAAAATCTTCCCAGGTATTGAGGTCAGGATCATAGGTCTGTAGTTTCCTGGGTCCTTTTTTCCTCCCTTTTTTTGAGGATGGGAACTACATCAGCTCTTTTCCAGTCCTCTGGTAGTTCCCCAGTGCTCAAGGATCTTTGAAAGATATAGTCAGTGGTTCTGAGATCACATCTGCCAGTTCCTTCAGAATCTTGGTGTGTAGTCCATCTGGTCTTGGTAATTTGAACTCGTCTAGAGTGACCAGATGCTCACTTACCATTTTCTTGCTGTTTCCCCCCTTTGTGTAAAGACAGATACAAAAAACAAGTTAAATAGTTCTACTTTCTTCTGTTTCTTGTCACCTTCTTGCCAGTTTCTCCCACTAATGGACCAGTCATTTCCTTAACCTTTTTCTTGTTTTTTACACATTGAAAGAAGCTTTTTTTTTTGTTATTTTTGACTTTTGTCGCAAGCCTTAGTTCATTTTGAGCCTTAGCTTCCCTCCCTTCATCATTGCAGTCTTGGGCTATTTGCTGATATTCTGCCTTAATTGTGTGCCCCTCTTTCCACTTTTTATATTTTTTTTCTTGTTCAAAAAAACAGAAAAAACATATCAGGTATGTATCAATTTGCAGCATTACCTCAGGTTCTATTAAAGATACACAGAATCATTTACTTAGGAGGGATATATATATATATATATATATATATATATATATATATATATATATATATATATATATTTAAGTAGTATGTTATTTTTTATGTTTCTTTACTTTTGCTCTTCTTTCTTTTTTTCATTGTTTTATCTATTCCTTAAGAAATATAAAAGTGTGAGATGGTTCATATGGGAAAATAGTTAAATTTTTAACTAATACCACCACAATTGACCCGAATATGATCGGACACGCTGTATGAATGTATTTATTTTACTGTTTTATTGTCCGATTATTGTTTTAATTTTGTACGCTGCCCTGAGCCCCTTGGGATTGGGTGGCATATAAATTTTAGAAATAAATAAATAAATAAATATTTTAGAAAATCTTAACCAGTGAGAATACCTAGAATTTGGTAGGAGAAACAAATTAAAATAAGGACTGTAATTGGGTCTATTGATTACCAGAATGATTGGATAGAAAAGAAATATTATATTGATGTGATTATTATTTTAAAAAATATTGGGAAAAATTATATGTTTAATTGTTATCTATCAAAACAATAAGAATTGTATTAATTCAATGTTTGCAAAAGAGGATATTTTGGGAAAAGAGGAAATCAACTAAAATCATTATGTGAATTATGGATTATAGAAATCAGTTGTTAATGATTCTTTCACAAATGTAACCCAGACAACACACTGTTCACCAATTATTGTGATTTATGTTTAAAAAAAATTAATAAAATATATTACAAAAAAAAGGAATGGAAACAGGCCATAACTGGTAAAGGGAAAGAAATGTTTAATGTTTCAGCAAACTCTTATTCCCCTAAGGGGATAAATTATCATCCCTCACTATTTATTTGCAACTTGAAACTGCATTGTAATTTCAGGGAGAGAAAGCATTATTGTGCGAGAATTATGGCATCACTCCATCGGAAAAATGTGAAAGCTACAAGAGCCATCTTTCACTCCAAGCTGTGATGTGGTCAATGACCCACAAAAGATAGGATTCATGTAACATATTAAACAAAGTATGTAGTAGCTTAGTGTGATGGGTGAACACAAAAAAATAATAATTCTAAAACCTTTTGTAATGAGAAACACCTAGGAACTTACAATGTAGTGGGAATAAGAGGCAACCCATTATACTGTCTGACAGGTGACATTCAGTATTATCATATGACTTTAAAATTCAATAATGTATGAACCTAATCAGCTTCTGCCATTCATTTGAATAGAATTGTTCAATGAATTTATTGTTTAGTTAGTCCTCAACCTACCACCACAATTGACCCCAAAATTTATGTTGCTAAGTGGAATTATTAAATAAGTTTTGCCTCATTTTACAATCTTTCTTGCCACAGTTGTTAAGTCAATCACTGCAGTTGTTAAATTAATAACATGTTAAGTGAATCTGGCTTCCCCATTGATTTTGCTTGTCAGAAGTTGCAAAAGATGCCCGGGACAATGCAACCATCACAAATATGAACCAATTGCCGAGTGTCTGAATTTTGATCATGTGACCATGGGGATGCTGTAATGGTCATAAGTGTAAAAAATGGTCATAAGTCACTTTTAAAAAAAAATACCATTGAATGGTTACTAAACAAACTTGCTGTAAGTCAAGGACTACCTGTATTACTTTTTTCTTATTTACAAGGAAATTTCTATAATATATAAGAGGAAATCCACTTTTGTTAATTTTGATTTGGTAATGCCCTTTTTAAAGGTATTTTAGTATTTATGTCTTTAGATTTGGTTTTGAAAGACCTTAAAAGGAATGCTTCACAACTTTTCTGGATGTATGAATTGCAAAGCTATTGAACTACTTGTCTTACAAGTGAAATCTGCCACAAAAAATGATGTTGCCCCTATTATCAACCATCTAACATTCTATAAAATATGACTGCTGGATTTAATATTTTCATTTCAATATCACAGCTAATATTTTTGACTGAAAAATTGATGCTGCCATATATAGAAAGAAGCAATAGAGAGATAATTGTTCTCATGGGCTTGTAACCAGAAACATTCATCAAGAGGCACAATTTCCTAAAAATGACATTTTCAAAAATGACTCAGTCTGGTAAGCACCAGTGTTCCAATCATGGCAATTATAGAAAGCAACATGCCCTTAAAACATTCATCTGCTGCTCTTCATTCAAATCAGGGCATAGAGGCAACAGACTTTGAACCTTCTTGTATGAATGGAGAACAGCATCAGGAATCAGAAAGCCAGGGCCCAAGTATTCAAAAGTATGACTGCTTTAAATTTCTAACATGGAATAGAAATTTCAAACTTACGATAGTGCCTTAATTTCAACTGTTTGGATCGGGGCCTTTGGAGTCATAACCTCAGGCAGTAAAGAAGCAAAGTGATGGAAGTAATTCAATAATTGAAAGAGGTCAACTTGAAGAGTTATCTCTGGATGGGATGACTTTCCTTCCTGATAGGCAGTATGCTGCTGTTCTGATGTGCTTGCTTGGAGTATGCTTGCTAGAGGAAATAAACTGGACTAAGGCAGCCTATCACAGAAGGTAGGAAGTAGAAATGTGTTCCTTTAAATCAATTTTGACCCCTGGTGACTGTCAGCATAAATCCCTGCAGTTTTCCTGGCAACATCTACAATTCTTTTGGCAATATCTGCAGTTATCTTGGTAACATCTTTGGAACTGGCTATTGCCTTCTTCTTAGGGCTGAGAGACTGATTTGATGCCTAAGACAGAAGTAGAACTCACAGCCTCCTGGTTTCTAGCCTGATGTCTTAATCACTCCATGGAATAGTTTCCCTAAGGTGCCGCTGTAGCCAGCTACTTCATCACTTCACAGGATATAAAATAATTTTTTAAAGCTGCTACTGAATATTTGCCAGTTGTCGCCTTAAATATAAGAGGAAGACAGTAGGTATAATTGATTCCACATGTAGATCAGAAACGCTTGTCTATTGAATTCTGTTAGCAAACTGAGCTTCTATTGCTATGAGTGGCTGTTTGGAAAGGAGGATTCCAGATTGGATATTTAGCTCATCTGCTTTGATGGTAGTAGAGAAGGAGCAATAAGGCTTCCTGTTCCATTGTTCTCTTAAGAGGAGAGTGTGGCTGCATTAACTCTCTGTCACAAGGAGAATTGAAGCAGTTCAGAAAGAGCATCAAGCCATGCAAGTCAGCGTCACTGCAGCCAGCAACAGCTCAAATGGAAGCACAGAAAGTCTGGATTCCAGTCTTGGAACTTGGACAGAAATAGTGATCACTTTCACTCCAAGGCTGGAAGAAGAGGATTGGGGATCCTTTTACTATTCTTTTAAGGTATGTTATTCTGTCTTGCTGTTTCATGGTTTTGAATTTTTCAAGAGTTTGCAAAGATTCAATGCTTCAGGATAGGAAATATATTCCTTCGAGTTGACATCTAACTTTCTTCCACCCATCTTCCACCCACATTCATTTCAGGAAGGACTCTTCAATATATAATTTTTTAGTTGCCCTTCAATATCAATGAACAAGAGAAAATTTCAGCAGAGAGTAGGAAAGTTATTTTGCATATAATTTGGAAATTATATGCAATTTGTATATATTTGTGTATGTATGTGTTTATTTATTTATTTATTTAGCCAACAGTCTGTCCCCCCCAGTTGATTTTGTAATGCAAAGGCACAAAACAAATCACAAAACTGAATTTTGATATTTAGATAGTAAATATACGTTATCTTTGACCTAATTGCTATTTTCTTTTTTGTGCATTTTGTTCTTTTTATCTTTAATTCCAGCATGTCAGTTCTCAAGCATTTGGACTGATCTTTTTAAGTTTATACAATTTTTCATCTGTGTTATATTAGGTGACTTGGATTAAACTTCCAGCCTCCACAGACTATAGGAATTGCTGTTAGCTATACCCAATGGAATTGAATGAAGTGAAAACAAGCACTAGTTCTTGTGTTGGAGTTTTTGCTTTTCTGGAGATGAAATTTTGTTAGAAGACATCTGATTCTAAGGTGCAATTGGAGGAGCAGATCTGTGAATGAAAGCAATTTGAGAATACTCTCTTATTTGTGAATGCTCTGGCATGTGAAGATGAGGCAGTAAATTGCTGATACCAGGCCATGTCAATCTCTTGATTTTGAGCCTGTGTACTTCAATGTGTATGTCTCTGTACAAGAATGTAAACAAGAATCAGGCAGCTCCATTTTAATATACTTTCTAGAATATAGAACTGAAAAATTTCTGACATCTCTGTATAGAAGTAGCACTCACAAAAGAAGATTTGACTGCATAGAACAGGGGTTCTCAACCTTGGCAACTTTAAGACTTGTGGACTTCAACTCAGCCAGGAATTCTGGGAGTTGAAGACCACAAGTCTTAAAGTTGCCAAGGTTGAGAACCCCTGGCACAGAACATGTATGTTCTGCTGCTATAGCACACAAACAGATAGCTTCTGAAGAACAGTTTATAACAAATCTTATATGGAAAATAATAAGAATGGTCATGTTGTTTTAGACAACCAAATCCACTAAGTTCAATATCCTTCTTGTAGTAGCCAATCAGATACTTTGGGAAACTGAAACACAGGAGGTGAATTTGGAAGCCTAGTCACAATCAAACACATAATGTCTCTTGATATTGAAGGTTCTACTGAATTTTGTCCTATGTTGGCTTACAATTTTTGCTCTTCAGATTTAATGATACATCATATGTGCATATTCACTTCTGAGTATGAATACTCAATGGCCATCACTACTTATTGCAAATCTAACCAAAAAGTTCAAATTGGAATATGCTTAGTAGTTTCTACATTTAACCAAGAAAAATCAAATGCACAGGTATAAAATAAATGGTGCCTGGCTTAATAATAGTAAGCATGAGAAGGATCTTAGAGTCCTAGTGGAAAATCACTTAAATAAAAAAGCAAAAAAAAAAAGGCAACCTAAAGAGTCCTAGGTTGCATTAACAGAGGGATAGAATCAAGATCACGTGAAATGTTAATACCACTTTATAATGCCTTGGTAAGACCATATGTGGAATATTGCATCCAGTTTTGGTCACCAGGATATAAAGTGCAAAAAAGTGCAAAGAACAACAAAGAGGATTAGTGGACTGGAAGCTAAAAATATGAAGAATGGTTACAGGAATTTAATAAAAAGAAATAGGGGTGTCATGATAGTGGTGCTCCAATATTTAAGGGACTACTACATAGGAGTAGTTTTATTATTATTTTCCAAAGCACCTGAAGGCAAAACAAGAAGCAAAGGACGGAAACTAATCAAGGAGAGAAGCAACCTAGAAATAAGAAGACATTTTCCCGACAGTTAGAACAATTAATCAATAGAATGGCTTGCCTCCAGCAGTTGTGGGTGCTCCTGGAACCACCTTTTAAAGAAGAGATTGAACAACCATTTGTCTGGAATGGTAGTCTCCTGCCTGAGCAGGGGGTTGAAGTCCAAGGTCCTTTCCAACTCTGTTATTCTGTTATTTTCTCTCCAGTAGCTCTTTTGCTGCAAACTCTGTAAACTGTTCTTTCACTAAATTCTGGATATAACAATCTTTCCAAATATGTTTCAATGTATTAAGTGAGCTATGTATATCCTACTAATCTCAGTGGAACAGAATTAAGCATATATAATGTATGTTAAGTATTGGAATAAATGGAATTCCATCTTAATTTTACATGGAATGTGTTCATTATGTGGGAATATATCAAAAAAACCTACAGCCACATAGTAAACACTATGTGGCATGAACATATGTGTTAACTCTACTAATGGGATTTTCATGAATGACTTAGAGGCTTAGAGGCTGACGCACCTATTCAACCCCTTTTCTCAATGAAGGTGTACTCAGAGAGAAGGTGTAAAACTTTTTTTCTCTATCTGCAACAGTAAGGAGGAAATTCACTCTGTGGTGTTGATAGAGGAATATAACTCAGGCAGTTGAGGTACACATTCCTTTTTATGAATGCATTTGAAATTGTTCAGTGAGAGGACAAAACATTGAAGAATCATTTATTCTGCAACATCAGCAACAATTGTTTGAACAGTAAATAGCAACATACTTCTAGGAAAGGAAAGGAAAAGGAAGGAAAGTGGTTAGGAATACATGTAGTAAAATACAAATTAACCTTTTTTGTCTTTTTATTTATTTCTTTTATCAACAAGAATAAAATACAAAACAGGAAAGCAGAAAAAACAAACATTCAACACAAGAATGAAAATATTATGTACAAAAAAAATAAAAAATAAAGCCCCAAATGTCAAATAGATCTAACACTGAACATAAAAAATTCACCTTGGCTAGATACTAAAAGGTAAATAAAAAAGCCTGATATGTTCTCCTCCCTTTACACAATGTGTCTACAAATAGTCATAAGCTTTCCCATCCTTATTTACCAAAAATACTAGGTTAAATAAACAAATATTCCAGATGAGGAAGTCTCTGTCTAATAAACAAATTGACCCAACATCTAATCATAATATATATGTAAAAAAAGGAAAAAAAACAGTCAACTAGTTAGCCCAAACATTACGCTAATCTTCAGATATCTTTGTTAATTACCTATTATTGTATTTAACATGCAGAAAATCCACAAACGGCTTCCTGCTTCTTATAAAATTAGCCAATCTTCAAGGCCAGTTAATTTTGCCATCTCTGCTAATTCAGTCAGTTTTAAAAACCACTCTTCAACAGTCAGCATCTCTTTTCCTTGCCAATTTTAAATTAATGTCCTAGCATACTGTGCTTCTTAACAGTGGCAATCCCAGACCCAGTCAGGAAGAACTAAGACATCACATAAAAACTGAATTTGAATGTCTAAGATAACAATTTATATTTTTGCCATAAAAAGTATTAAACTGTCAGTTTATTTTTTCCATTAATAAAAATGTGAGATATACAAGTACTTGTGTTTTCTATCTCTGTAAAATATTCCACGATAACTGATCATGCTAGTGGATTCTTCCAACATGTGAAACCAAAACCAAAATACAATAAAGCTGTGATGTAATTGTAATGTGATGGGTTGTAAAAATCCATTATCATTGATGATATGTGAACCATATCTGTTTGTTAATATAAAAATTAATAATTAATATTCTGTCTCTTGTTTGGCTTTAATTTCATGAGAGTCCATCCTAATTAAGCCATTTTTCTAAGTCAATGATACATTTAACCAGTGCTTTTTTTCCTAAAAAGAAAAGATGCCAGAACTCACACATGTCATACAACCCGCCTTGCCTACCCTGCAAGGTTCCAGGTGCTGGAACTCCATTCTGGGCTTTCTATGAGAAAAAAAGCCCTGCATTTAACTATAATAATAGACAGAAACAATAGACCAATTATAGTTTATGACCAATCATATATAAAAATACGAAAAAATTCAAGCAGCATATGTTTAAATTCAGGAAAATATAAAGCAAAAGAGAACAAGAAGGAAAAATCATATTAATAAAGCGCCTAGTAATGGTGGCTTGTCAGAGGTTTTTACAATAGAGAAAGGTACTAGACAGGGTTGCCCACTATCACCGTTGCTGTTTGTCTTAACACTGGAAATATTGTTGATCAAAATTCGAGAGTCGCAGGAAATTAAAGGAATAGAAGTTAATAAAAAAGAGTATAAGTTAAGAGCTTTTGCGGATGACTTGGTCATCACTTTGTCGCAACCTACTTATTCTGTAGTAAAATTATTACAGTTGATTCATAATTATGGTTTGGTTTCGGGTTTTAAGATTAATGTTAATAAGACTAAAATTCTATCTAAAAATATGACGAGTCGGGAGAAGCAGACTTTGGTTAATTTGACGGGCTTTGAAATTGTTAATAAGGTAAAATATTTGGGGGTGATGTTATCTGTTTCTAATGCAAAATTATTTAAAAATAATTATGAAAGGTTGTGGGTTAGGGTACAGAGAGACTTGAAGAATTGGGAAAAGTTGCAATTATCCCTCATGGGAAGAATTGCAGTGATAAAAATGAATATTCTACCCAAGTTTCTCTTTTTGTTCCAAATGATACCGATTTTGAAGAATGAGATCAATTTAACTGAGTGGCAGAAAGGCCTTAATAAATTTATTTGGGCAGGGAAAAAGCCAAGGGTTAAGTTTAAAATTATGCAAGATTTCCGTGAGAGGGGAGGACTCAAGGTGCCGAATTTGAAATTATATTATGATGCGGTGGTTTTAACATTAGTTAGTGACTGGGTAAATTTGACAAATTCTGATATACTCCACTTAGAGGGATGGAATCTACTTTTTGGGTGGCATGCCTATTTAATATTTAATAAAAAAATGGATTGGGCTTTTAAATCTCATATCTTAAGAACT